AGAACGACTACCCAACTCCTGGCAAATGCTTGGGCACCAGGAACTCGACGTGCATATACTGCGGCATGGAAGACATGGGCCAATTGGTGCCTGGAAAGATCGGTGGATCCCGTATCAACCTCTGTGAAAACGGTTCTGGATTTCCTGACACACTTGTTCGAATCGGGAAAAGCCTTTCGTACCGTCAACATGTTTCGATCTGCCATCTCGGCTGGTCATGATCTCGTGGACGGCCTACCAATCGGGCAGAATCCATTGGTCTGTCGCCTGCTCAAAGGTATACGCTTCTCACGTCCGCCTAAACCTAGATATGGATCCTTTTGGGACGTCAACATAGTTTTCAAGCTCCTAGCAGAATGGCCCTCCAACGCAGAATTGTCATTAAAACAATTGTCGGCTAAATTACTCATGCTATTCTGTTTACTATCCTGTAAGCGGGTATCTGACGTAAGGGCCTTGGACTGGCAAGCCCGTGTGTTCACTCCGGAGGGAGTGTCTTTCGATATCTCACGGAGAACGAAATCATCGACTAAACAGGTTTTTTATCCGAGGATCCCGGATCAACCGAGTCTATGCCCGATACTGTGCTTGAAGGAATACGAATCTCGCACTTCCACTCTACGTTCAGCTAATGACGGCCCTTTGTTCATTTCTCTGAAGAAACCACATCTCCCTGTAACTACACCTACTCTCGCCCGTTGGATCAAGTGGCTGTTAACCTCAGCCGGGATAGATGTCACGGTCTTCACACCACACTCTGTCAGGGGCGCTATGGCCTCCAAAGCATCGGTAGTAGGATGTCGATTGGAAGACATCTTAAAAGCCGCAGATTGGTCTACAGAGTCCACATTCCGAAATTTTTATTTTAAACCCATTCAACATTTCTCAGATAGGATTATAGCTCAGCTTTAAAAGAGCATAATAGGAGCCTCCGTGTCTTTAATAAAATTCCAAGATTTTACTATTAACATGACATAAAGTCATGATTTTATTAAAGACACGGAGGCGAGTATTATTCCCTCCCGCCCTCCCTGGGTGGATCTCTTGGGATTCATAGTTCAGACAGTTATAAGACTAAGTGGTTCCGACTTGTTAAATTTCTCATATTAGATTCCTGAGTCAATCAGGTAAGTTGGTTTACCATGTTGGATGTAGTTTGAACTTTGCTTATCATGTATGATGACGTCTTGACTGTTGAGGATATATATATTCAGACTCAAATAATTGCCTACATTGAAGTATATGTTACAATCAGGTGACAACCACGATATTACCATATTTCTCCTCTCTTTTTAGCCTGAATACTCCTATTGAAGTGTTGAAGTCTTGGAAGACAATTCCACAGTTTGCCCATAAAGTATGGATGTATGGATGCTATCCAAGGTTTTTGTTTCCAGTTACGGTTCAAGTTCATCGTTTTGATTATTGACTGGTCTTCGGATCGCTACGGAAAGAGGAAGAGGAAGGGAGTGCTACACCTTATATACTAAAGGGGGTGGATACCTTTGGTAGCACTATGAATATGATAATATTATGTTAATTTTTCTCGCTTCTTTACATATATCTCTCTTCGCTGCTGAGGGAAATTAAAGAAAGAGAAGCATAATACTCGCCTCCGTGTCTTTAATAAAATCATGACTTTATGTCATGTTAATAGTAAAATCTTGGAATTTTCTTGTGGTTCACACAATAAACACAGAGCCTTTTTCTCATGCTAGAGCTCTTCAGTGGGGCTCTGCGCATTGAACCAACATGCTCACTTTGAAAGGGGGCATGCTTGTCATTAGTGATGACAAAACACACCCTCTAGGGCCCCACCCCCTTCTCAGTGGGCCGCAAATTTTTTCCCAGTCCGGCCCTGTTCACAAGTAATTATAGAAAATATAGAAAATATAGAAAAACTACTGCACACCATACATTTTAATTAAAAATCGTCAATCTGTATTATGACATTTGCACACAAGCACATGATAATCCAATCTGATCATTATACCATTCACATCCCAGTATGTAATTAATGTAATCAACAGCATTAATCACACCAAGATAATTAAAGTAGAACTATCAGTGTGTAGTTAATTCAGCAACAAATATGAAACATGCAAATAATAAGGTCTGTAAATCTTTTTACATTTTACTAGCTAGGCCAATGTTTGATGTCCTGTGCTCCCTCTTCCCAAAATGTTGGCTTCAGAACTTTTGTCAGTTTCACCTTGACATCAACTATAGCTGCTATTTTAGTGTAATGTATTTCTGAAATTGTTTATTATCCAGTACATGATGATGTTTCTACTTAAATAGATTTGCTGTAATTCTAACTGTTAATTTTATTGGCTGCATACCATGATATATATAATGTAATAATGAGGTTGGATTAGCATATATTGGATAAACTATTTTCAGAATAAATATTGCCCATGGTTATGTAATTTTTGGTAAGCTCAATCTTCTTATATTTATTATTATTATTATTATTGGTATTTATATAGCGCCATCTAATTCCGCAGCGCTTTACAATATTACGAAAGAGGGGAAATTTACAATAAATGAGACAATTACACAGAGACGCAGGAACAATAGGTAGATGATGACCCTGCTCAACAAGCTTACTAGATTAGGTGAGGTACAAATACACAACAGGGCAGCAAGTAACACTTGGTACAAGCTAGTGGAAAAATGATCCCATGCTAAGGTTGAAAATATGCCTTTTGAAATACCCTGGGATGTCTTCTTTAAGAAATGGTGTACCTTTATGGTGTAGCTGGAATATATAGCCTGCTAAAATACTCCAAAATGGGACCTGGACACAGCGTAAAAATTCAAAGTTTGAAAAAAACTGGAATGGCTGTGTCTCAAATGTGCCCCTTCAATATCCACATATACCTGGCAAAGGTATATACGTGGGTATTGCTGTACTCGGACACGGACACGGACACATCAAAACCCTCCATTAAAATTCACACTTAAAAACCTGAACTTGCACTGCACCTTCACAAAATAGTGTCTAGGTCATACATTGGGCATATTGTTTTACTCAGAAGATGTAACTAAGCATAATTTGGGGGATTTTATGACAGTAGTACATATCAAGTATAAAAAATACTCAGCAAAAATGCAACATGTATAAAAATGCCAGTTTCCCCCCCCCCCTCACCACAAACATTGACATAAATTGGTAAAAGAAAAATGGTGACAAGTTAAGGCACAATATATACCATATAAGATACCCCTGGGTGTTTGCTTTATCAAATGTTAGACCTTTGTGGGGTTATTTGAACAGTCAAACTGCTATAATACCCCAAATTGAGACAGTCAAATTTATCTATGAAAATTCTTACTATAGAAAATGAAATAGCCTTGTCTCTTATATGGCATTGTAGCTTTACAGAATAGTGCCAAAGGCATACAATGGGGGTATCGTTATACTCAGCAGATGTAGCTTAACACAATAGGGGGTGCTGTGCAGGAATAGCACACACCAGCTCTAAGAAATACACATTACAAAACTCTTGTTATATGTGTATATGCCAAAATGGAGAAAAAAACACAAAATTACTCCAATATTTAGCAGAGATTGACAATGAAATGGCTACGTAAAAAGTGTCAAAATACTCTTAGGTAAATAGTCTGTGATGTCTACTTTATATAAATATATACTTTACAAACTAAACATACCAACTTCTAAAATTGTTTCACATTGAAATTTTAGTTTAGTCATTTTATTTTGTGACCTGTAACTTTCACAATAAGCTGAAATCCTAAATATATTATGTACTATATAAATCAAGACACATAAATTAATTTATTTTGAATTACTTCTTCAAAGCTGGATATATTATGCACATGCTATTATTGCCAAAACTGTGAAAACAATGTATTTTATTTCTTTTTTTTTTTACAATTTTTGGCATTTTTTTTTTTTATAATTAATGAGAATTTATCTATGTATATCTCACTTCAAATTAAAGCCCTTTTTGCCCTCTAAAAAAGGATATATAATATGTGCTAGTGCAATAAATGACAGAGATGCAAATTGCATTTACACAAACAGCAAAACATGCAAAAATGGCTTGTGTCCTTAAAGGACCACTATAGTGCCAGGAAAACATATTCGTTTTCCTGGCACTATAGTGCCCTGAGGGTGCCCCCACCCTCAGGGTCCCCCTCCCGCCTGGCTCTGGAAGGGGGAAAGGGGTAAAAACGTAGCTTTTTCCAGCGCTGGGCGGAGGGCTCTCCTCCTCCGATCCTCTTCTCCTCCCTGTCGGCTGAATGCGCACGTGCGGCAAGAGCTGCGCGCGCATTCAGCCGGTCACATAGGAAAGCATTCATAATGCTTTCCTATGGATGCTGGCGTGCTCTCACTGTGAAAATCACAGTGAGAAGCACGCAAGCGCCTCTAGCGGCTGTCAATGAGACAGCCACTAGAGGAAATAGGGGAAGGCTTAAACTGCTATGTTTATGAAAAAATGGGTTAACCCTAGCTGGACCAGGCACCCAGACCACTTCATTAAGCTGAAGTGGTCTGGGTGCCTAGAATGGTCCTTTAAGGGTAAGTCCAGTTTTTGAAGCCTTAAATTAGGCCCCATTTTGACAGTTCAAGACAACAAAATATTGCTCTTCATAGTGCACCATTGTTTATATACTGTAGTCAGTAGTAAGTTATTACCTTATCTTTTTGTAAATGGTGTAAAATAACTGCCAGGCAGGAGGCTTGACTAACGGAGATGTGTGGGGTCTACTGCTAGCACCAACTAAGGCAGTGAGTGGGTAGGCAACTTTCAGCACTCCAAATGCTGTGGACTACATCTCCTTTAATGCTCTTACAGCCATAACTGGCAAAGCATCAAGGGACATGTAGTCCATAACCTCTGGAATGTCGAAGGTTGCCTACCCCTGAACTAACCTATAGCATGGGATTCACATCTACAACCTTATTTTTTAAATGTATTATTATTATTTTTTTACTAAGGATCATCACTGCCCACATAAACCATTTTCAGGTAAGGTCTGACTGGGAATGATGAGAGTGGCAGTGTGACGTTTTGTAAGCCGCAGGTCACTCACGACGTGGAGCTAGTGGGTAGAGTAGTCAGTCACCCTCTGCTTACTCCCATTCGCATGCACTGCAGCCATACTGCCGCTGTATGACGTCATGTCGAGAACGAGGCCTTGAAAAGGCGGAAGTGCTCTGGAGACCCGCAGCTTTTCGTAGGCCAGGGACATTGCATTGTGTGACAGCGATTCGGTAACATCTGGAGGGTAAGTCTCCCTCAGCAGCCGCACTCAGGGCACGCTCATGTTTTTGCCGTAGCTCACACACACACACTGTGTTTGGGCCTGACTCTCTGCTCTCAGCATTCACACTGCCCAAGGCCTGCGTGAGGGCAGTTTTCCCCCAAGCAGATGTATGAGCCTGTATATTGTTTCTTGAACAAAGTACATGTTAATTATCTGAGTTATTGTCTTCCCATGGGTTTGTCTAACAGCATATACACAAATATGTGCAGAGTGTTTATTTATGGGGGGGAAACCCACGATAATGGATTATTTCCCACTAAAACACATACATATGACAGCATTATGTATCTTTGATCTGCATATTATTATTTTTTTTAGGACAGAGTTAGGACAAGACTTCTGTTAATCTTACATTTGTATATAGTATGCCAAAGAATAGTTACTTTTGTGGGGCAGCAGCTGCTATTTGTCCTTAAAAAGGACACTATAGAAGTGGTCTGGGTGCCAGGTCCCTCAGGTTTTAACCCTTCAGATGCAAACATAGCAATTTCAGAGAAACTGCTATGTTTACATTTGGGGTTAAGACAGCCTCTAGTGGCTGGCTTCCGGACAGCCATTAGAGGCGCATCTGCGACGCTGTTGGCATATTATGCCTCCATCGTGCAGAGCGTCCATAGGAAAGCATTGAATGCGTGCACGTCACTTGCCGCACATGCACATTAGGCTCCACTGACGTCGGACGGGGGAGCTGCAGTTGGCGGGGGAGGTCACAAGTGTTTTTATCCCTTCAGCGCCACGAGAGGAGGACCTTGAGGGTGGGGGCACCCTCAGGGCACAATAGTGTCAGGAAAACGGGTTTGTTTTCCTAACACTATAGTAAACCTTTAAGCTCATTAGCAAGCGCTCTTTGTCTTTTGTTTTGTTTTGGACTGTGTTCCTGGGTGGGGTTATTCACTTAATCAAGATTTGTCAGCAATTCAAAGTGAATTTGAAATTCAAAGGGTTAGTCCAAGCACCATGACCACTTAATTTTAAGTTGTCATAGTGCCTGGATTCTGTATTTGCAGAATTTGCTCTGAAACCATAGGCCAGGGGTAGGCACAGCGCTGTATCTAGCGCGAGGCTGGCAAGGCATTTGCCTTGGACTGCACTTTTAAGGGGGCGTCAAAGTCACCCCTCAAACCCCCCGGCAGATGCCTGGTCAACCTCTTGTCCTGGAGGCAGGCAACCTTTATCACTTCAGTTGTTGCGGATTACATCTCCTTTTAAAGGGATTCTATAGTGTTAGGAATACAGATCCTGACACCGATTCCAGCGCTAATGTCCTTCGTCGCTTCGCCTGCTCAGATGTTATCTGAAAGGGTGGCCTAATGTGCATCTGTGGTGAGCGCATTTAGCCCTCCCCATAGCAAAACATTGCCTCAATGCTTTCCTATGGAGATTTTACTGACTCTGGATGTCCTCATTTTCGTCACCTAACAAGTTTTAGTCTGAATATTACAACCAGTGTAATTATTTAGTGCATACTATAATTGAGTGTACCTACTATATAGAAATGGAATATATAAGGTACAAAGTGTTAACAAAGGTGATATAAAGTGTCATAAGTGCTAGAAAGTGCAATCAGTGTTGAAAAGTGTATATGTACTATTAGTGTTGGCGTATACAATTCTAAATAATGCTTTATGCTTCACAGTACAACAAAATGTGTGCCAGACATATTGTGGAGTACATACAAAGCCTGTTATATCAGGCAAGTAGATCTATAGATAAAACTATTAGTGCATATATAAAGTGCTGTGTGCTTGTTGACAAAACATGAAAAAGTGTGGTAGAGGCAGTACATGCACACCAAAAGGTAGGTGACCTTCAAAAAGTTAAACTTAATGGAAAACCAATATGGAGTATGGACATCAATTCAGTCTTCATAAATAAAGAAGATACAATGAATTAATGACAATAGAATCTAAATATATAAAAAATTAAAAACATCAACTACAGGGGACTCATAAAATGAGTGATAGGAGATCATCTCATTTAGTCCTTTTAGGGGCTATAGTGTCCAAGTTGTAGATCCAAAATGATTCACGATTTAACATAAGTTTACTTCTATCTTCCCCCCCCCCCCCCCCCCCTGTTTTAGCGGAGGTATATGGTCAATAGCCACAAACTTAAGTGTTGACAATGCGACTGGTTGATTGGACGTACCATCCCGATAGGCTACCCGTATGCTCGATCTATGGCCCCTAATCCTTTCACACA